AATTGATAATAAAGTTAGATCAGATGTTCTTTCCTGTGTCATGGTACTTCTTAAATAACTTTTAAGTCTTCTTAATACACTAAATGATCTTTCGGCACTCGCAACTCCGATAGGTAATGTTATGAATATTATAAATTTATAAATGTTTATCATGCACCGAGGGCCCGCAGATCCCGGGGCCCGTCGGTGCATCGCACCGGTTGCACCGACGTTAAATACGCCTCTGATTATATACATATACATAATTGATATATGTATATACAGAGTGTCCCGTAATTGCCGTCTCACCGCTCGTAGGCAGGTAGAAGGGGTTATTCTAAGACAAAAAGACCTATACTTTGGAAGATTCGCAATAATTAACGAAATATTAATTAATAAAGATCCGCTAATCAGCGTGCATCCAGCGTAAGGACAGCCCAGTCTGTCGCGCCGTAGCGACGGAATACAATAGCGCGGATAACGCGCTGCCCGAACGCAGCCTATATGCTGTCTATGGCTGCGTTCCGAGTTACGCATATGCGCGCATTTATCTATAGTACACGTCACGTATAGTATAGATAAATGCGCGCATATGTAACTCGGAACGCAGTCTACGTATGCACATGTTATTCTATTAGCTCCTCCCATTCTGTCGCTACGGCGCGACAGACTGGGCTGTCCTTACGCTGGATGCACGCTGATTAGCGGATCTTTATTAATTAATATTTCGTTAATTATTGCGAATCTTCCAAAATGGTATAGGTCTTTTTGTCTTAGAATAACCCCTTCTACCTGCCTACGAGCAGTGAGACAGCAATTACGGGATACCCTGTATATGTGTAAATACACATTATATTTTTATGTACAATCCAAGCGTAAAATTTAGTAAATGTATACACTAGTCAATGTATGTTAATATGAAAAATTTTAACAGAAGTACTTACTTGAAAACTAAATATGAAAATGCCTACTATTTTCAGTAAATGTATGTATTCATTTACTAAACAATGCCTACATGTGTCATGACACTTTAAGAAAAAGATAATATAAGCTTGGAAAATACATGCTTAGATGAGAAAGCACAAGAAAGTGGAACGTGTCTCTTTGTGCTCTCTTACATAAACAAAAATAACAAAACTTGGAAGCATGAAAAATATCAGGCACAAAAAAGATTGCGTAAAAGTTTTAATGCATTTTTGTTTATGCTTATGGCACAATGCAAGTTACGTGATTGTTGTGTATGTGTGTGATGTACATCTGCTAACAAAAGTGCTTATTTAAATTAATGCATTTTTATTTATACTCTTAGGCCCGGTTTCACAATTGACGGTTAACTTGAATTAACGGAAGCCCAACTTGCTGAACTCGGCGTAACGCATCTTTTCTTCCTAAACATGAACTGTGATTGGTTAGCGAAGATTTGACAAAGAAGATTGAACGCGTTAAACCGAGCTCAGCAAGTCGAACTTCGGTTAATTCGAGTTAACCGCGAATTGTGAAACCGGGTCTTACTAAATCAAGTATAAAGATATATGCATCTACTAGTAAAAATTTAAATTTCATATTTTGTAATATATTTCCTTGTCTAATTGATAGGTGCATACATTTACCAGTAAGCTTATGCACTTCCTACATTCACACATCAACTGTGATATACATGTATGTACATTTTATTTACATATACAAGGTGAGTCTGATGAAATGGTCAGCAAATTTTTCTCGAAAAACGGTTAGAAAAAAAGGAAAACATCCATTATCAAAATTGTAGAATATTAAGAGAGACATACTATAATGATCTTGAATGATCTTTAAAATTTTTTTTCACATTATCAACCGCGCGCCTGGTAAGTGCGTGAGCTTAGAGCCCCTGTAGTATGAGTCTGGACACAGTTGTCTTCAATCTTATTGGTTGTGACAAAATATGGCGGAACCAATAAGATATCTTAAATTTATACTTCACGCGCGATATTATTCAATATAAAGGTTGAGCAGAATAGAAAAATTATTAGGAATAGAAATTAAAAACAGAGGTTAAATGTAATATACAATGCAAAAAAATAAAATATAACATATAAATGTATATAAATATAGGCTGTATATCATGCAACCATGACATACTACCTGTATTTATATGTTATATTTTATTTTTTTCATTGTATAGTATATTTAACTTTTATTTCTAATTCTTATTCCTAATATTCTTTTTGTTGTGCTCAGGCTATAAGAATAGAATATAAGACAATATAAGAAGATAAATTTGTTATATTACGTTTTATTTCACATATAAAAATACAATGAAATACAAGTATACAATAGCACACAATAAACACATAAAAATACAAATATTATTAATAGTAAAATAATATTTAATAAAAATTAAAATATTATTTAAAATGTTATTTAATATTACTTTTTTATTTATTTTATAATAGCATGTCGTGCCATAGTTTTACTATTGTAAATTTTATTTTTTAATCTAACTTTCTTACAATCAATTTTTATTCGAAGTGAAATGTACTTACATGTATTTTCTGTCTTTGCGATGCTTACTCGTAACGTGACTCAATTGTTTCTTGATCGTTTCCGACACCATGTTTTGTCAAATTCCTAACTATGTCCAGACTCATACTATAGGGATTCTACGTGAGCTCACTGACGTGCGCCCGGCTAAAGGTCGGCGCTGATTGGCCTAATTTACTCAATAATTACTTCTTTTTTACGTGTAATAGAAAAAAATGGTTTAGAACTTTTTGACTCAAATTTTAATAAGGAATAACGCTATGTGCTTAGTGGGCGTTCTTTAGGTCAAAGCCTTCCAACTCGCGCACGGTGTGCGATTTGCGCCATAAGATTTCTATACGGTCACGTGATCAGTTGGAAGGCTCTGCTTTAGGTTACACCCTATATATACAGGGTGTCCCAGAATTGGTTTAACATCTCTCGTAGGCAGGTAGAAGGAATAAAACTGAGGTGAAAAGTCCTATACCATTTTG